TGAATTAACATTTTTCTCAATGATTTCTAAATTCCTGTGTTTCTCTTATCATTTCATTCTTTATTTCTTTTCTTTTTTTTTTTTTTTTTTTTTTTGGTGGAATGGGATTACACTCAGGCCCTTGTGCTGAGCCATTTCCCTGGCCCTGCCAATATATCTACTTTTTGATCTATGCTGGAAGCTTGTTTTTTTGCATTCAGCAAAGGTCCCACAAAAAAATAAAAATAAAAAAAAAAATAAGACACATGCCTCACCTGAAAAAAAGAAGAGCTTTAAAAAAATCTTTACTAACATGATAAAGCTGATACCTGGAAAAAGAACAAGAATTAGAGTAGATCCCCTTTAAAAATAAGAATTTTTGTTTTGTTGTAAAAGAAAAAAAGAATATAAATACATTTCTACCTAATTTTCATTTTTAGAAATGATAAAATTTGTATGCTTCTCTTTCTGATCCATAAATTTAGATACAGCTGCTGAAAATACCACTGGCTTTGAAATAATTGTTTACTTTGATGTACACAAGAAATACATAGAAAAGTATCTTCCATATTTCTTATCAACTGGTTTTCACACATAAATATTATCACCATTTAAAATAAAGTTAATATGACACCAGTGAAAAATATCAAGGCTCTTTATATCAAGCATGTTCAAGTGCTTTAAATGTAGTCATGCTCACATAAAATTGAAAAAGCCCCCAATGTAAACCAGCCCAAAGTAAGGAGTAATCTAAGCTTAAAACATGGCAATAGCCACAAAATAATTTAGTGAACTCATTTCTTTATGAATAGTTTATTTCACTTATTTCTAAATGGATGCTAATATTTAAAATATCCACTAACACTCAATGTTATAAACATGAATGCACAAGTAACCTGAAAATAAATATATACATGGCCAAAGTTTTATTCGACTCTTCATTTAAAAAAAAGAGCAGTTTTGGTGAGTATTTGTCATTAATATTCAATTTTTTCTGTTTTTTTCTGTCTAGAGGCTTATAAGCAATTCAGAAAAAGTTTTAACATTCATCTAAGGAATACACTGAGATTAAAGTGAAAATAGAACTAAATATTTAAAAAATACAACCATGACTACACCAGGGCTTCACCAGGCATGCACTCAGCCTTGGGGAATTATCACACTAAAATCAAGAGTGTCACATCCATAGGTGATAACATCGTCTTTCAGCCCTATGTTGGTCCTCATTCACAAATCTCTTCATCTAAAGAATCATTCTTGGTGATGAAAACAATTTTTGAAGTTTATCTCCAACCTGACCCTGTCAAATTTTCAGAAAATTAAATAACTCTGGATGAATATGCAGTATTTATGAATAGCTGATATGCTAAACAATTTACAGGGCATTATCATTAAGACCTAATTTTATCTCTTCTGTCTGCAAGAGACCTGTGGCAGCTGTTAACCACTGGCTTTGCGTGTAAAGACTTCCTCTGCATGTTTTCTGCTGTCTGTTGGAAGCTAGGTTGCTCTCATACTCATGTTCCTTAATGAGATCTGTAACAAAAGTCCAACCTTCATAGGATTCTGTTGCTTTCTTCATTTCCTGGAAAAGATAATCTAATAATGATTTATAATGTTGAGAAATGGACTCAGAACTCAGGAAGTAAGAGACAAATGTGTGACATAAGCATAACATTGTTTGCCAAGTAAATCTGATCTAAAAAATGCATAAATAAGACTATATTTTCTTCCAACTTAACCTACCAGAGCTTTCTTTAACCACAAGAGTAAATCTTTCCTAATGATTTTATTAAGATAAGGACAGCCACAATTTTGTAGCACATGAAAAGAATGGGAATTTCCTTCTATATTTAATTTTAGTTTGGTACATTGTAACAACCATACTTCATGAATCCTAAAAGGAGGAAAATGAAATGAATATAAGTAACATTTTCATCCTTTTTCAAATTGCATTTCAAAAACCTGACTAAAATAGTTCGTTTCTAGTTGTGTAAATCCTCAGACTAAATGGAGCTGGAGTTTTGTTTCATGTTGCATAAGGCAATGAATGGTTTTAAATGACAGACACACATTGGCCTTTTGATAAGACATGTGCCAACTAGTTTCATTCAAATATTCCACACTGTATTTATAAATCATGACATCATTTTTACCCCATAAATTTATACAAGTATAAGTTCAACTCACAGGAAAAAAATTGAATTGAAAATTAAGAAAAAATTACTTCGGGGGGAGTAAAACATCTTGAAAATAAATGCAAGGAAATCATAGCTTTCTTTTTAATAAGATATACACTAAACAGGGCAGAGAAATAAAAACAAAGAAAAAAAAGTTACAAACTTTTTAGGTTAAAAATTACATAACTTTTAGGCATTAGTCTCCTATAATATTTAAATAAAAATATGTACTAAATTACTACACCTTTAAAATATGTATCAGAGAATTCATAAATCCCAAATCCTGATAGGATATAAGTAACATAAAGAAAATGAAAGTAAAGTATATAATAGTATTTAAATGTACTAGATTCGAACATTCATAAGTTTCATGTAAATTTAAGTAAATGAATTTAAAATTGATACTACATTTACCTACGGAGGCCTAAAAATAATCACAATACTGTTTGTATTTTAGCTTTCGATTTCTATGCATTTTGAGTTTTAAAGTGATATTACTGAAAACATCAGATTAAATTGGATCCACTTAGAATCAGAATTTTTATCTAGTAGTAAAATTTATAAGTAAAGGTAGCCAACCCAATAAACCAGATTGAACAAGGCAAACGCTGTTGGGAAGAATATTCGCGAGTAGGAGTCAATTTTGGCGATGCGGATGTGTATCCTCCCTTCCCTCCAGGACCCCGCTCTGCAGTCTTCAAAGCAGCAGAAAAAGCTGGCACAATCTTTGCCCTCCAAGCACTGATAGCCGTAATCGTCCTCCCCTTGTTGCAGAGAAATGCTGCTCATCGGGATCAGGGTGGATCCGGTGTGCAGACCTGGGGCCACCTGCGGGATGCAGCAAGGGGAGTTTCAGGCATAGAGCAGAACAGAGGACGACCCCCACGCCACCATCGACACAAGCTGCATGAGACATGCTATAAGAAGATTAATCCTGTTTTTCAAAAAACAAGTATTTTCAATTCTAATGTTTTTTTAGAACCCGGAACTTTCCTTACATTCCAAAGATCGTGAAGAAAACACTCCAGAAAATAAAATTTATTTTATATCTTTAGAAAATTGGTGCACTAAAATATTGTCAACTATGAAATTCATTCTAAAAGCGTGTTTCAGGGCTGGGGAGACAGCTCAGTCAAATAAGCGCTTGCCTGGCAAGCACAAGGTCCTGAGTTCAATCTCCAGTTCTGGAAAAAAAAAAAAAAAAAAAACTTAAAAGCATGTTTCTATATTTTTCACTAAAATATAGTGCTACGAATACACTTGTTTGCTATTATGTTATTTATTTAGTGACAATGAAAATTAAAAATGAAGACATTGATAATGTAAATGGTTTAAGAAACCATGGATAAAAGAAAAATACAAGTTTATAGTAGTAAATACAAATTAGTAAATTTTGGAGATACGTTCTTTTTTTTTTTTTTTTTTTTGGAGATATATTCTTTAAGAGTTTAAAATGCTGTTTGGGGAAGAAGTGGTGTTGAAGACACTGGAATTACATGAGCTCCTAATAATTTGGGAAAGCCGTGAGGAATAAATCATCTAACTTATGGGGAAATGACCATGAGTACTAATAGCTACTAGTATTATTCAGGTTGTTTGGGACACACATCAACTTAACTTGTTAATGTTTCCAGGTTTTGAATAATACTTAAATAATAAAAGTAATATTTGAAAATATTAAATATAAGGATAAGGCCGGTAGAACAAAGAGCATTAAGGAAAACACATTAGAGTCAGACAAATGTAGTCTGAACTGCTAGCCCTGACTGTAAAGTTCTTCTAAGTTGAGCAGAAAATTTGACTACTCTACGCAATGGAGATTATGAGGTACAAAGGCATAGTAGCAATAACACAGGTTTCTTTGATGATGCAAAAAGATGATTCACATGAAACACCAAGCAAAATATTTGAAGTACAAAATAACTCAATTTCCAGGAGATATTATTTATTGTTGCTGTTAGCATTATTTTATTGCTGATGCCTGTTAAGGATAAGACACAACAAACATAAAAAAATGTGATAAACCAAACATAGGAACAATAATAACTGCAAAAACTTGAGCTTCATTCAAAATACCACTAGACAAAAATTATAAAACTCTTGAATAAATAGGTGAATGAAAGAGTTGGCTAAATAGCTCAGCGGATTAAGGCACTTGGTTAGGCAGAACACAGGGATGAGGATACTATTCCTATGCTGACCCACCCCCGGGGCACACTGAGATGGTGATTGAGAATGGGCTGGGTGGCGCGTGCCTATAATCCCAGCACTTGGAAGGCTGAAAACAGGAGGATCACTACGAGTCTGAGTTGTGTAGTGAGACCCTACACATACTGTACATAAAAAATAAAAAAGGTAAAATTTGTAAATTAAATATGAATGAAGTTCATGCTTTTAGTAATTTATCAGCCCTCATAATCTGTCCATATCTCCAGGATGTTCTAAATTATGCATTTTACAACTACTAAAATCAGTGCTTTGATTAGCTTGACATTGCATATGCTGCCAAGGCTATAAAAATTATTTGTACTTGACCTTAATTAATTTTAAAGTCAATACTTATCTAACTTGTGAGTTCTAAATTTTGAAAAAGAAATTAAAGACCATGACAATTAAACTTTCCATGAGAGTTTAAAAATTCTGTATGATAAAGAATGAAATTTCATAGGTTAAAAGCAAGAAACAAGTAATAACAGGCAGTAATATTTCAAAAGACTGAAAGCATCAAGCAAATCATGATAGCCATCTTTGAACTAAATGTACAGTTTGAAAATAAAGGTCAGTGCCTTAAACACAAATAAATTTATTATGGGATCTGCCTAATTATATTGTAAGAAGCAGAAGCAGTATATTTCAGATGTTAAGGATAAATTTTTGAAGATGACACATCAGGGACACTGAATTAAATTCCAAACTTTTAGTAGAGCACTAAAATTATGTTTTAAAAAAGACAGATTGGTATTCATTCCCTGTCATTTAATGTTTAAACAACATTTTCATATGCTAATGAGAAAGGAAAGTAATTAATATGAAAGTTTGTTATTTGACAGCAAATACATTTCATGTATCACATGGCACTGTCAAAACTGAAATACCTTGTGCTGATCAGAAGATACGAATTGTATGTGAGAGGGTTCAAAGTGGCTAGTTGTAGAAATACTGCACGTAGTTCATTTAATAATAGATCAATCTCTGGTGGTCAATGTCTTGATTACCTTATTTTGATGACACTGACAACTTTCCACTTTCTTTCTACTCCTTTTCTCTTCTCCAGAACAATGAATTCATAAATTCAAAGAAGCTGCATTTCAATAAGTGATGAACGTGAAAAGAAATAGACTATGTAGAGGCTGAGACAAATGCTCAAAGATCTACACAGTATCAATAAAACAAAACAATGAAACACACAGACTTCTGACCTGGAAATCCCTAAATGATTAATGGGAGGGATACATAGGTACTGAATTGCCTTTATTTGAAATGCAACTTGACTACATAGGCTGCCATCCAACACGGCAACTACTAGGAAAAAAAATAAATCAGCTAAATTAATATAAAAAATGACAACATAACTGAACATGAACATCCTAACAGAATATCCTCTCAGGACCATCAAAATGATCAAAAATTGTAAAATACACAACAGTGATAAAAGCAGACAAAATGTAGGTGTTAGTGATAAGTCCTCAGTTCGCATATTAAAATTTGTAATGAACTTCTAAACATCAAAGTTTTAAATAGCCTAATGGATATAATATACACAAAGAGAACATTTCAGAAAGCTGAGAAAATGGAATTGTGTCTGGAAACTGTTCTTTCCTCTCAAAAACTTTGGACACACTGTAACAAAAGAAAGAAAAATGGGAATAATAAGTGAATTGGGATGGAAGACATAGCATCAGTTAAATGATCATTTCTGAATTAAAAACTATATTGCTTGAATTAGAGAACAACTACTGTGCAAGCAGTGAGGCAGAACACTGATGAGTGGGTTGTTTTATTATTGTTGCTCTTATTGGTTTGTTTTGGGGTTTTTTTTCTTATTGTTAGAACTCCATGACTTTTAAAGTATGTCAAGGAAGGTTCAGACTCCTTCCTGAGATGGGTATAGTAATGGCCCCAAATGCCCTCACTCTGATAGAATCAGTCAGTCAGTTCTATCTTTTATTATTCAGTGTGTGTGTGTGTGTGTGTGTGTGTGTGTGTGTGTGTAAGCAGGAATAGTTTGTTCCCCATGAAAATATTACCTAACCAGTGAAAATTTGATACACCCCCCCTGCTTGAATGGCCTATTGGAAAATAATACAAAACAACATTTGTAAACCAACAAATGAAAAACATGATGATTAACAGCTGGTATTACTGACTCTAATAATTCAGGAAACAAGAGAATATTAATACTGGTAATTAGTCTACTCAGAATTCCTTGAGGAGCTAATGTACGCATTGAAAGAAAAAACAAAGAGTTAGTTGGAAAATAACACTTCTCAGGAATTGAAAAAGTTGCTGTGCCTTTTAAAAAGCTCAAAAAGTTTTAAAATAAAATTTTAAGGAATATATCCACTGTGTATAGAGAAAAACTATGTCAATGAAATAGAGAATGATATGAAAAACTTGACTGTATGTTTAACTTAAGAAGTATTAAAACAAACAGTAGTCTTAAGAGAAGATAACAGAAAAATATGGGACAAAAAGCTATCTAATTCCCAAAAGTAAAACACATATTAAGTAATAATGTAAAACATAAAATATTTTAGAAATTTTTTTACATTATGTGAAATATGATGGAAAAATTCAGCAAAAAAATGAAAAACAAAGTAATAATCAGGGAGGCCAGCCCATTAGCTCAGGTATTTACATGCCTGCTGAAACAAATCAGTCAGGCTCAGGATGCTGTGGTTCGATCCCCTCATCCTCAAGCCAAACCAGACTTGCCCTGAAGGCATCCTGAGAGGCTCCCCAAAATAAT